ACGTTATATCTTCTAACAATATTTCTCACACTGTACCGCGATAATTCTAACATAGTTGAAATTTTCGAGTTTGATTTCCCAGAATTAAAAAAAATAATTACCAGTAACCGAATTTTGTCACTAATAACCTTTCCTCTACCCATTTTGATAACCTTAAGCACCCAAAACTATTTTAAACGTATTCTGACAGCTGTGATTAATAAAAACAATTGTCATGGCTTTTATTTTTCACAGCCATCTATGCGTTATAGACTTATTTTGCATTGAAATGAAAATAGGTTGATATGCTGTATTTGCAACATGTGTTATTTTTATGCTGCAAATTTGATTAGGGAGTGATAAAGTTGGTGTTTTCAACTATATATTATCAAAATATTCATTGTTAATCTTTTAAACCTATAACAACCTGCTACATTTTTCAATAGTTGGGCCAACTAAAGTGGGAAGGGGCTCGTAGAGCCGTATTGCAAAACTTTTATAGTACTCTTTATATATTCCTTAAGTTAAAAGAGAAATTATAAAACTTGAATACTGAAAATAATTCCGTTACCCCCAATATTCATGCGATCTACCTAGTACCCACAACTACTTGACTATATTTCGTAGACTATCAAATTAAAGTTTGCAGCTAAATAAACATAAACATAGTTTTTTACCTAAACCTTAGGCTGTGGCATAAAGATCGAAAGATACGTTATCCTCTTATGCAATAATCATTAGGATACTCCATAACCCGTTCTTTAATGGCATTTTAATATCCCGAGATATTTACATTTATTATCCAGGCTGACCATTAATCGTCATTTGGAGCTATGAAACGCAACGGCATGAGGGTTCACGGCCCCTATGTGTAACTGCAATTTGCCCCATGTTTGTATTATAACGGTTGATTTATTTAGAGGTTCTATTTTCAAAAGAAAAAATATTAAAGCAATCAACTATCGGGTTATCCTTTATCGAAGAAAAGAAGGATTCTTGGCATTCGGATTTTCTATTTCTTTCAAGTGTCTGGTATTATTGCGGTCAATTTCGTCCGTTCTGGAATGTTTTTGAAAATTCGTTACACAGGAGAATGTTACAGTTTAGATTCAAAAATTCATAAAATAACGAGTAAAAACCAATATGGTTTAATGAAAGGAAAATCGAAAGCTGAAGCAATTTTGGGCCAGTGAACAAAATATATAATAAATTCTATAGAAAAACAGCTACTATTTGCATCTTTGCCGATTTAAAAAATGTATTTGATATATACTAAGTGACATATAAATCCGAACACCCAGTTTAAATGGTTTTATTTTAATAAAATTTTGTATAAGTACTTAATGAAGCATAATAAGTAAATGATAAAAATTTCAAAATGATTGCACTGCTTTAAAGCCCTTTGACCTTTAATAATGTGTGGATGCACCCTGATGTGCTACGCATTGTCCAACGCGCCTAGGCATGCTTCTGATCAGGTGGTCAATGTCCTCCTGTGGTATCTCATTCCAGGCAACCACCAACTCCTCTCGAAGTGCTTCTAGAGTCTGAGGAGGACCTTGCAAGTTGAGCAATCTCCTACCCATCATATCCTACACGTGCTCAATTGGGGATAAGTCGGGAGATCTTGGTGGCCATGGTAACAATGTGACATCATTATGTTGAAAGAAGTCTATTGTGATTCTTGCAACATGTGGTCGGGCATTATCTTGTTGGAAAGTTGGATCTGCCAGGATGTCAAGATAGGGTAAAAGATGGGGTTCTAGAACTTCGTGGATATAACGCTGCGCGTTCATGTTACCTCTGATTAAAGGTGACCTGGAACCATAAGCTATAGCACCCCAAACCATAACTCCAACAGTGTGATGAACATGTCTTTCAACAAAAAACTGTGGATTCCTCCTTTCACCACGTCACCTTCTAACCCTGGCACGACCATCGTGCATGCCTAAACAAAATCGAGACTCGTCACTAAAGACAATACTGTTCCATTCCTGATCCCAGAGTGACCGTTGTCTGCACCACTCAAGGCGATTACGTCGGTGTTCTCGAGTTAAAGGGAGGACCCAGTGTGGCCGGTATGAAAACAAGCCAAAACTTGTCATTCGTCGGTAAACAGTTCGTATGCCAATAGGTCTTCCGTGTTCTGCAAACCATTCATTTGCAGTGGACCTGGTAGTGGAGAAACGGTCCCTTAAGGCCAATAATCTTAGGCGGCGATCTTCACGGTCTGTTGTTCTACGGCGGCGTCCAGTGCCCCTTGCTCTTTGCGTACGGCCTTCTCAAAGCCATGCCTGACAACACCTAACCACAGTGTCTACACTTCTTTGCACTTTGACTGCAATTGCCCGAAAAGAAAGTCCAGCTTCCCGAAGTCCCACATACGGCCCCTATCAAACTCACTAAGTTGACGAAATCGTACAGGTCTCCGTACTCTAAGCATCGTAACCGATCGTAAAGGATGTCAAGAACCAAAATCCGCCAACGTTGATTCTTTACTGCGGCTGAAATATTCATTTTTAGAGCGTTAGTGAATTAAAAAAAAGCAGTATAAAAACCGGAATGTCCAACTGATAAGGCTGAAAATTTTTTCACTTGTTATTTACAGTAAGATAAATACATTCACCAACTTTTATTAAAATAAAACCATTTAAACTGGGTGATCGGATTTATATGTCACTTAGTATAGTATGCCATCCTGAACTTTTGAGGATTATAAAAAGACGCGAGTCTAGGGGAACCAGCTCTTGATGACGATCTTTTTTATTAAAATATCTGATACATTCAAAGGAAAAATGATCATGAAATATGGTGTTCCTCAAGGATCGGCATTGAGTCATCTTCTATTCAACCTATATCTGAACGACCTGTTCAAAATTAGGATTAGAAAAATGTTGCAGATGACAACCATATTTTGTAAAAAGCCGAGAATTGATCTACTTTGAAATAAATTGAGGAAATTGATTTAAAAACTAATGTAGACTAATGACTATTTTTGAAGAACTTTGTGTTGAATATCGTAACCAAAAAACAAAAATTAATAGAGTTGATACCCCGAAGTATTCGTAGACTCCCATTTAAAATGGGAAAAACATATTGCACAGGGTGACCCATCCATGTGTGGACGGAATATTACTCATAAACAAATACATTTTGGGAAAATCTTTTTATGGGGTGTTATACATGACATTTGAGGGCACATTTGTAAAATATTGGCCGTTATACAGGGTGTCCCAATTTCGACCTATATATCAAAGTTGTGATTTAGTAAATAGGATGCCACAAATTTTATTGCTTATTTGGATAAACCAATTCAAAAGATGAAAATTGATATAACATACTATGGGATTTTGATAATTAGCTACTGAGATATAAGGTGTTTTGTCTAGAAAAACCCCCCACTTCTGCAACCACTCAGTCCGCCATTTTGAAATTTGGAGTGCTGAATTTTGTATCAAAGAAAACTTACACACCTCAGCTTTCATCTTGTTTGTTACTTTTTCGAATTTTAATTTTTACTCATACAGGGTGGTCAAAAACGCAAATTGTAGTTTTTCTCAAAAATTTCAAATGCATCACCCTGTATATTTGTACAAGTTTGAATTCACTTTTTTATAATCTTTTTTTGATACATATGGGTTTTTAAGGCTATTTTTCATAAAAAATTGAATCCAAACTTGCACAAATATACAGAGTGATGCGTTTGAAATTTTTGAGAATAAGGACAATTCGCGTTTTTGACCACCCTGTACGAGCAAACATGAAAATTCGAAAAAGTAACAAATAAGATAAAAGCTGAGGTGCGTAATTTTTTTTATATAAAATCCAGCTCTTCAAATTTCAAAATGGTGGATTGAGGGGTTGCCGAAGTGGACGGTTGTTCTGGACAAAACACCTTACATCTCAGTAGCTAATTACCAAAACCCCATAGTATGTTATATCAATTTTCACCTTTTGAATTGGTTTATCCAAATATGCAATAAAATTTGAGGCATTCTATTTGAAAAATCACAACTTTGATATGTAGGTCGAAATTGGGACACCCTGTGTAATAGCCAATATTTTAGAAATGTGCCCTCAAACGTCATGTATAACATGTCATAAATAGATTTACCCAAAATGAATCTGTTTATGAGTAATATTCCGTCCACACATGGATGGGCCACCCTGTATAGTTAAAAAAATCGGAAATGTGGCTTATAAACTCAAATTACTTTCGGATGTCATTACAGAAAATTACTCCATATACTATACCATGCGTTAGTTGAAACGCATATAATACGAGTATATGGTACCTAGACTGTATCACATGAATTGTATCATGAGACAAACATTTTTGATAGTAGACAACATTATTTCTGACATACTACCTGCGTGTACCACAAAATTTCTAGTAATCATAAAACAAATACGCACAACCATAACACAGATATAGGATAATGTCATCAAATATTCCTAGACCCCAAAAATAAATATACGGCACGAAATACGTTCCCTACAATTTGGAACAGCTTTTAAACAGAAATGTAATTGCGAAAATGAATCAACTTAAGTCATCAATCACCTCCCATTTAACAACGTTGCCACCAGCCATTTGACGGACAGACCGACCATCCTACAACTTTGCAATCAGAGTTGCGATAAGTAAACTGACAGGTTGATAACTATTTTCGTTGCGCTCAGCGCGGGTACCAACAACAGTTGTCTGTGAAATATGTCTAAAAAATGTATAAAATTTTCATCCCAGGCATAGTAGTAACCTGTCAAAATTTCATCATTCAAGACATGGTTTTTCGTGATGTGCAGTCAAAAAATGCAATACATACATATCTGGTTTTCGGAATGCTTCGCGATTACGATATTCCCTCTGAATACTTCTCACTTATTCATGGAACAAATGGTAGATACCTCGAAAGTGGTAATTTATGGAATAACTCATCCTAAAAGTGTCCGAAATATGTGAAGTACGTTGGCATGTCTGACACTTGTAAGTTACCGGGGTTTAAATATTAAACGTCAAAGTGACTGTCACTAGGTAGTAGTCTCTTCAACAAGTCTTACAGTTCTCTAAACAATTTTGCGGTATTTCGGAGGAAAAAAGATGGTAAGTCTTGCGACTGCAATCTCAACTTTTATCTGATTGATACAAATACCTTTGAAACATCTTTTAAATTATTTACTGGCATGTTCTATTCGCAGCATTTACACACGTCATAATGCTTGTCGCGATCAAATTTTTCATTAACAAACAATCAACCCTTTTTACCTACCTAACATTTAACTTTGGAAGTGTCACGAACGATATTACAATATTGTAAAAATTGAGATATAAAGGAAACGCATTTAACCACACGCTCATCCAATTTGTTGACAAATTATGAAAAAGCTAGTCACACTGACAGTTCAGACATTTGGTATATATAGCATTCAACTACGAGCCCCTTCCCACTTCAGTTTTCCCACTTCAAGATTTGTACCAAAATATGCCTTTATAAACTAAACATGACGAAACTATTTACTTCTAAAACAATTTATTTTCTGAAAAACATTTTAATTACACTCTAGTCGTAAAAAATACATATTTGAAATCACTTAGACCTATAACATCTGAACAAATAAACAATGTGCGAATGAATGCGCGAAGTTAACAAAGCAACAATTGAAAGATTACCATTGGGTAACATCACCTTTATTTTTTATTACGGCTGAAATTCTTTGGGGCATAGTGTTAACCAAGTTTTGGCAAAAATTTGGTGTAAAACAATCCCATATTTCTTGAAGCTTTTTGTCTCAGTTCGGTGATTGTACGAGCAGGATGTTGTCGTAGAACCTTTCTCATCTCGTGCCACAAAGTTTCAAGGTGACAGATCTGGACTGCTAGAAACCCATTTCAAAAGTGGTACATTATTTTCTTCCATCCATTTTATAGCCTTTTTTGAGGTATTGCACGCTGCACCATCTTGCTGAAACACAAAATCTTGGCCGGATGTCAAACATTCTTCCATCACTGGTAAAAGCGATTCTTCTAAAATTGCCAAATATTTGTTTGTTTCCACATTTCCATCAATAAAATGAAGTTTTCCTACTCCTTTTGATGACATACTGCCCCAGACCATAATGGATGCTGAAAATTTCACTTTTCTCTTCAGTCAACATGGAATGCTTCATTTTTTTGCGAATAACTCTACTGCGACTGTCTCCAACACAAACTTCGAATCGGGCCTCATCACTCCATTGTTGAGGTGTCCATTGTCTATGTTCTTTAGCCATCTAAGCCGATTTTTCTTTTGCAGTGGAGTTAATAGTGGCTTTTCTTTGGCCTATAAACAAGTTCTGCAACTTTAGGGTTTTTACTTCACTTTTTTTTTATAAGAAAACTTACCTTGCAAGTGCTAAATCCCAGTTTGAGGGCCTCTCTATGAGTTGTGGACCTCGAAATTCTCCTTCAAACAGCGTCACTCCACAGAGCACTTAATTGTAAATAATTGGCACGCCTGTTTTTCACGATTATTCTTCTTAATGCTCTTCGGTTGGCATTTGTGATATTACTTTTTTTCACATATCGTGGCTTAATATTAACTGAACCAGTTACGTTATATCTTCTAACAATATTTCTCACACTGTACCGCGATAAGTCTAACAAAGTTGCAATTTCTGAGTTTGGTTTCCCAGAATTGAAAAATTTAATTATCAGTAACCGAATTTTCTCACTAATAACCTTTCCTCTACCCATTTTGAAAACCTTAACTACCCAAAACTATTTTAAACGTATTCTGACAGCTGTGATTAATAAAAACAATTGTCATGGCTTTTATTTTTCACAGCCACCTATGCGTTATAGACTTATTTTGCATTCAAATGAAAATAGGTTGATATGCTGTAATTGCATAAGAAATAAACTAAGATTTCAATAGTTGGGCCAACTGAAGTGGGAAGGGGTTCGTAGATGATATGCCTTCAAAAGAATTTCAGACAGTAATTCTTCAGGATATACTTTGACCACTTGGCCTGTTGACGATTTTCGGAAAATTGCCCCTTTACGAATATACCGGGTGTTTCAAATTCAATCCTCGCAATTGGAATCTCGGAAAATACAACAGATACGAAACCGTTTAAATGGAGTTAGTTATTCAGGTAATTAAGAAAATGCCGCTTAGAAAGTTTCAAAATTATATAGAGACGGATAAAACCGAATTTTCCAAAAATCGTTTTAATTTTTTCATAATCTTATTTGTAGTGGGATTTCAAAATAAATTGCACATTAACGTTGCCACTTTATCTCCTCTACTAGATGGAATAATTAGAATTTCAGTATGACCTTTCGCCTCTTGTCCTCCAGCATCAACTTTTGTATTCCATGGCCTGCCTGTATTACATAATTGTCTTTTTCGTATATACCCATAGTGAATATGTATTTAAACAGAAAATATACATTTTTTATTAGCATTACTTACTTACCTTTCAGCGATAACTTGTAATATGTTCAAAAAGGGGGATTTTATTCTGACGAATAAAAAAATTCCAGAAAAATTAGTTTGAAAAAATAAAATTTAAGGGATTTCCGTATAAAATTTGATTTGGCCTAAATTTTATGTTAGAAACAAGTTATCGAGATGCGGTTTTCGCGAGCTATTTTTTCATAAAAAAAAATCATACCAGTGCATTACATTATTTTGGAAAAATTAACCATATCTGTAGGAATGTCTAAAAACCCTTCTAGCGGCCACATGTGAAACTAACAAAACATAAAATATCATAACATTTGTAGCCCAAGAATAGTTCTTTTCAGCTAGCTCAAGTTTATTAAAATCGGCTCAGCCGTTTCGAAGATACAAAAACCTTTGAATACCTCCACCACTTTAGTTTCAGAGATACAGCAAGAATTGTCAAACAGAAAAGTTACATACAGGGTGTTCGAAAAATCGACGGAGATATTTTGGAGGGCTATTCCTTGTTATAAGATATGAAAAAAAGTTTCTATAAATGCAGTTTTCAAGATACAGGGTGATAAATTTGAAAAAAAAAATTCAAACTTCTTAGCGAAATTTCGCATATAAAATCACGTGAATAATTCTTTTCTAGAAGAACTGATGCGCAAACCTCAAATCTCTATGCAGGAATAATTTTTTGTGCAAAAACTAATAAACAGATTTTGTCCAGTGACATGCAATACAAATTTTTTTCTCGAAAACGAAGTGATGTACGAAAACAATACAAGAAGCAAAGAAGCTGTATTTTATATGCTTAATCAAACAGCAAATATTAAAGCTACAAAAAATGCAGTGGCGTACATTTTTCGCCAATAATATTCGCTAAGATGTCCATCGGAACGCCACTGAACCTAATAATCTACATTAAAACAAATAATATTGCCAAATTTCAACAGAGTCGAGTAAATATTTTTTAAGATATCAATAAAAAATTTTTTTTTTCAAATGTATCACCCTGTACCTTGAAAACTCTGCATTTCCGGACCCATGTTTACTTTTTACCATATTTTTTCTCCCTCTCAAATATCTCCGTCTATTTTTAGAACACCCTGTATATGTCGCACTAGGTATGACGTTAGGCGCTAAACATAAAAAGAAAACTTTATCACAGTGAAAAAAAAACAGATTTTGGAATTTGTTAAAAAATGTGTAAACAATTTTTGACGCAGTTTTAGTCCTGACATTAAAAAGTGTCCTTAAATAAGATGTAAAAACGAATCAGAATATTTTTCCGAACGGATGCGAGCGAAGATACTTTCTGGACTAGGAGCCATTGTCCATAGTTCAAATCGGTTCAGTCATATGATTTATAAAAATAAATCGCCCAGTCGCGGCGCAGGAGCGTACGTCATCAACAAAAATACGAGAATTGGATTCAGGGTTAAGCTTATGTTATGTCTGATACGATTATTTATTGATGCATGTTTAATTCGAGGCAGACTACAATATTCTCTGATTATGTTTATGATCCTGACGATATTTGCCATAAAGACGAGTTCGTGTCTACGAAAAAGAGACGGATCAGTGGCGGATTTAGAAATCTGTCTAGTAGAAGAATGCTCAGGATCCATGTTCGTCTCGAGGAGGGTTTTCTTCATATCGAAGCAGCAGCGCAGGCAGAAGCCTACTTGCCACCGCTTCTGGTATGAGGAGCCTAAAGAAACTTTGTTAATCCGATTTTTGAATTGCCTAAGGTAGTAGTACTGGGAAAAGCCTCCTCATGTAGATTGTTTCAAAATCTCGATACCCTAAGGACTGTCCGTTAGAGAAGAGTCATCGATCTGTCGCACAGCCCTTCTCTGGACTATCGAGCATGAATGATGTAGTCGGGGCAGCAGCACCCCAAACATGTGAGCAATACTCGAGGTTACGGCTTATCTGGACCTTGTACAGTGAGGAGGCCATGTGGAGAAAAGTACTTCTTAGCCCTAAACAAATAGCCTAGCTTTTTACCAGCAGCTGCCGCTTATAATGAGATGTGTTTGTGCCAGATCAAGTCCTCGACGATCTGGACTCCGACCAGCGGAAATGAACGGCTCTTTGGTAGAACTCGGCTATCCATCAATCAATCAATAATCGATAACCTTTATTTCCATACAGACAATATATAATTGTACTGGAATTGTCAATTTTTGGTTCGCTACAAACCTACAACTAATCGCAAATTGCATGTTCAAAAATTCATCAACACGATAAAAGCACTTGTTTATCAAAAATTGTTTCAACTCGAACTTGAAGTCGTTAATATTTTTAACCGAGGTAATGTGGCATGGTAAATTATTAAAAAGAAGCGGACCAATTTTATTAGGTGATCGAAATGCCGCTTTTGATTTGCTGAAGTTTACATATAAATTATTAAGTCCTTGTATCATAATTATGCATATCACAATTCCGCTTGAATTTTTCATTATTTTTAAAAACATGTAAGCACAATTCATATACAGGGTGTTTCAGTTTATTGTTGCATAACTTTAAGATTCGATAGAACTTTTAAAATTAATGCATAAAGTCTATATAAACATGGGTCGAATACCAAAAATGCGTGGCTTCCGAAATACAGGGTTTAAATTTACTTTCTAAAATAATTTTTTTTAAATATTTCGAACAATATTTG